CATAGCTAATACAGTTTAATCAAGGTTGTTGTTAGGAAGGAACTGTAAGACTTCGGAGATGTTTCAGAACTGGATGGTTGCTTCAGCTTGACCAGTATTAAGAACAATATAGGGGAATTGAACTTTTGATCCCAAGCCCAGCTTTGACGGTCATCACAAAATTAACAGTCATCATATTTAGCAACTAGTCACAAGACTTGTAGGGATTAGAGTCGACTTGAATTTCAAGTTTAGAATTTTGTTGCAAGAGAAAGCATGAATTTGACATCAATGAACATCTATATTTTAGATGTCCGTATTGATTGTGACTAAATATAATTCTTTAATCTAAAGATGGAGAGAGAGCTATTCCCCAGCAGAGTCGCCAGCAATCTGTTGGCTTAAGAAAAATGGCGTGTCCTCATGAATCCCGCTTTGCAAAAATAGGATTCCATTCCCCTTAAGTTAGATTATAGTAAACCAGATTTCCTTAAGGATAATATTAGGGTTTAGTTAGATCTAGGTACCTACTTCCCATAAGCGCAAGCACTCATAATTAATTACACATCTTAACACGTAAGAGAGAACTCTCGATTAATGATGAACAATTTTAGATGTTTTAGTCTCAATGGTGGAGAAATGGTGGTTCCGCCGCCCCAGGCATACTGTAGATTTCATTCTACCAACACTAGCAATCATTGATCGTAGTATTTAGGGAATCAGATTAGCTGTCATGGGTTGCCCCCTCTAAGGAATCCTAAGTAAACTGAAGTAATTATGAGTGGTTTGTAATTTTTATGAAAGTTTGGGGTTCACATCTATTAGAATACCCAGTAGTTGATTTAATTTGGGATTTACGACTTCATTTAGAAGTTACACATTTGTTTGAATTGGTTGGGGGCTTACGGCTTCTCTAGGAAGTAGCCCGATTGTTTTAGGAGTGTGTCTTACGGCTTTCATTGAAAGTTACCGTGAGTTTTGATTTGTAACGGGTCATACGGCTTCTTTTAGAAGTTGCACAAAGTTTCTCGGTTTTTGTGGAGGTTTTTCATATAGTAGGTCTTTCAACTTCCCACGAAAGATGCCTTACTATTTTGATAAGTTTTACGACTTATGGATTTAAAAATAGTCTAATTGTGGGTCTTACAATCTAGCCCTATAAACTAAGTGACCCATTTGTTTATGTTGGATAGGTCTTACGACATCCCTAAGAAGTAGCCTAAAGATTCATTTAGATAGGTCTTACGACTTTCATTGAAAGTTGCCTATAGTTTTTATTTGGGTTTTAGGGTTTTTGTACTTCAATTAGAAGTTTCCCTAACGTGTAGGTCTTACTGCTTCACTTAAAAGTGACCCACATATAGGCCTTACAATCTAGCCATATAGACTAAGCCACCAATTTTGTTTTGGTTGAGGGTTTGATGCTTTTTTTAGGCGTTTCCCAAAGAATATGTCTTACGACTTCCATTGGAAGTTGCCTGATTATTTAGGTATGTCTTACGGCTTCCCTTTGAAATTTGTCTGATTATTTGGGTAGGTCTTACGACTTCTCTTTAGAATGTGCCTGTTGTTTTGTTTCAGAACGGGTCTTACTGCTTCCCTTTGGAAGTTGCGCACTGGTGTGTCTTACAACCTAACCCTATAAACTAAGTTGTTCATTTGTTTGAATTTGGTTGACAAGTCTTATGATTCTCTTAGAAGTATCCTGTAGATGAGTCTTACAACCTAGCTCTATATCAAGGCTGCCCATTAGTTTAGTTTGGATTTTTTTTAGAGTTGTTGCAATTTATTTAGAAGTTTTTCTAACGTATGGGTCTTATAACTTCACTTAGAAGTGGCCCATATGTGGGTCTTATAACCTAGCCCTATAAACTAAGCTGCCAGTTTGTTTGAATTTGGTTGACAATTCTTATAACTCACTTAGAAGTTGCTTGTAAATGGGTCTTACAACTTAGCTCTATAGCAAGACTGCTCGTTAGTTTATTTTATTTTTTTTAAGGTTGTTACACTTCATTTAGAAGTTTCCCTAATGTATGGGTCTTATAACTTCACTTAGAAGTGGCCCATAGGTGGATCTTACAACCTAGCCTTATAGGCTAAGCTGTTCCATTTATTTGAGGTAGATTTGACTGCATGTATTTTAATTTGCAGTTGTTTACTATTCACTAGACTTTAATTATTTTAGTTGTTTATTAGTAGTTATTTACTAGTTTGACATTTACAATCTTGACACTAGTATTTCTGTTATAGTGCCCTACTTTTCTTTCAGTACTTTGCTTTTCTTTCAATTCCTTGCTTTTCTGTTAGTACTAGTTTTGTTTCAATAATGATTAGTTTTGGTTTCTTACTTGTAGATATCTAGAGTTTTATATTTGTATGAGCTTACTTGGAGCATTGGAGAACTTTTGACGGGAGTTTTAATTTTTGTTAGTGTTTTGGAGAGTTTACATAGTTTATGGTTTTGAGTGTTGAGAGTTTTGTTTGTGTTTGCGTTTTTTTGGAGTTTGAGAGTTTTAGTTGGTGCAAGTTGTATTAGGGTTTATTAGTGTGAACATTGTTGATTATGCATTTTGTTTCAATTTATTAAAAAGATTTTAAATTGGTTGATTGGTTGTTAGTTAATTAAGTTTGGTTAAATGAATTTTAAAATGATTAAAGAATTATAAATTGATTATTTGAATTTTAAATTGGTTCTTTGAATTTGATGTTAAATTAATGATTTAGACTTTATTTGAATTTATAATTTAATTAAAATTTTAAATGGATTAAGTTTTATGTTAAAATTTAACTTTATTTTGATTTTAAATTTAATTTCAATTTGCTAAATGAATTAATTAAATTAAGGTTTTAATTCTATTTAATTTATTAATTAGATTAGAAATTTTAAATAAATGCTAATTAATTAGTCAAATTAATTATCACTCTCCAATTGCTCCAGAAGAGAATTTCCTGCAATCTTCTAAGGAATGCCAGCAGCCTCCCAGCATCCCCTATCTTCACGGGGAGGTCAGGACGGCACTTACCGTTGTTTCTACCCGCCCAGATCAAAGATCAATGGCGCGAGGTCTTCATGTTTAAAATTCATCCCGCCCATATCAAAGATAAATGGCACGGGTCTTTGATTTGAAATTTATCCTGCCCAGATGAAAGATCACGGCAATGGTCTTCCAATTTAAAATTCTCTTGTCCAGATCAAAGATCGATGGCACAGGTATTCAAATTAAAATACATGATTTATTTGATTGTTTAAATCAATACAATTAGTTGGAATAGTCGTGTATTCATGAGGCAAGGGTAGGCAGTTTTTGAAGTATTATTTTGTCTTGAGTGAATGCCTTGAGTGAACAGAATACTCATAATAGATTAAATATTGCCCTTGTAAATTGTTGGAAATGAAAGCACGGGAAAACTTATATAGGTTGATTGTGTGTGGAAGGTGGAGGTAGGCAGATGACCTGGTGAGTGTGCAATCAGAAGCGCAAACGAATAGCGGGCTTTGTCGCGCGGCTTGGTGTTGTGTGTTGAAGGTGGGATTGCAGGTTGGTGCCGCAATTCAATCACGGGCAGTGAATTCGATCGAAGGATTCGACATGTATAAGGACGAGCAAAGCGGCAGGGGGCTGGGGTGTAGGCGCGGACAATCGCTGGGCTTTGTCGCAAGTTGCACATGGAAGAGGGGAGCCAACGTGCAGAAGGGCTGGCTCGAAATCGGAATAGGATGCCAACTTAGGGTTCGGTCATGTGTACGAACGGGATAGACGACGTGGACATTGGCTCGAGATCGGTCTTCCGATATGCAGCTATATTCGGTCTTATTGTGTCCGGCTACAGGAAATAAGGGGCTTCGGCTCTTCTGACCCAAAGCCCTACATAGGGTCTTGGTTGGGTACCCATTGGATACTCAAACCCGCCCGCTCCCACCCATGGTAAATTTCGGGACGTTGTACCCACCCATACCCACCCACTTTCCATGCTTTTTGAATGCAGTCCGCCACAAACTGATGGCCTTGAGGCTTGTTTCCCTTTGCTCTGACTGCAAACATTCAAGCTGCATATCAAAATTTACCGTAGTCACAACATGGCTCAGTGTTGCGTACTGCATAGTGAGGATTGCGATAATATACGGCATACAGTGATTAGCAATGTAAACCGATTTATCCCACGAAGTTGAGCACCCACCAATGAGGTCATGGGCGTACCCATACTTATTGGGTATAGATGAGTACGTGGGTGGGTGTGGGTATGGATACCCAATGCAGGGCTCTGTTGTGAGCGGCACAGAGAGATGAGGGGACTATGGTTGAGAGTTTGAATGAATGGAAAGAGCGGGCTCGAGGGAGTTTTGTGTCGTTTAAGGAAGTTACAGGAGCAAACAGTTGAGTCGTTTGAGAGCAAACCATCAAGGTGGAGCCACAAGATAGGCAAACGAAATTGTTCGAATTTCCCCTTTTTTCTACTTATATTTTTCTTTCAACACGCTACATTTTTTTATTTTCATGATTTGTAAAATTAAAAACTTGCGGCGAAAGAAGTTTTGAGTGCTCGTTACATTTTTTTTCATTCATCTCAATATAATATTCTCGTTAAAACCCCTAGACCTTAGGATGTATTACATTAATTCTCCAACTTGATATTTCATTTAAATGACAGCATAAGTAATGAAAACAAGGACAATTTGAACTTCTTGAAGAAAAGGGGACACAATGTTTCACATTGAAACTTGCATATCAAGTCTATCCAAGAGCATAAAATAATGCATAATAACCACGACATGGGAACCTTGTCTAACTGGAAGGGGGGAAATGCATGACTATCATGCGATTAAGGAATAATCATGAAGACAGTTAACATTGCTTTCATATTAGAACAGCTTCGAGCTATCCAAAGAAAAAAAAATGCATAACTTGGATTTGACATTGAATGGGTAAACTGAAGCTCATGTCGGAAATTTAGCAACATGTTTACCAATTAAAAAAATGCATGCAGAGGAAAAAGAAAAAGAATCAAAATGCAAAAATTACCATGTGACTAAAGAATAATCATGAAGATAGTTAACATGGACTTCGCATCAGAACTCCAGAAGCGTATCTATCCCAAGGAAACAAATGCATAACTAAAATCTGACAAAGAATAGGTAGCACGGATTTCATGTTAGAACTTTAGCATCATAATTATCCGGAAAAAGTGCATAAAGCTGAAGAAGAACCACTTGGCACTATAAGCTTGAAAGTTGAACTTCAGCATCAATCTTTATCAATCCATAAGGAAAGAAAGGCATAAATGATAAAGATTTCAAGATCATATTGGAGCTTCAGCTATCTGGAGAGAAAATTTATGAAAAAGACTTTATTTAAAGAAAATATTGGAACTACGCCCATAATTGAAACACAATAAAAAGAAAGATAAAAAGAGCAAGATGAATTACAAAGACTTTATAAAAAGGGTAAAGCTTAAAATAAAATAAGAAAAAATGAAGACAGCATGTCCCTTAAAGAAGAAAATTTGAATACAAAAACTGGCGAGACTCAGTTTAAAAATGAAGGTTCGAGAAAGGAAAATCAGGACAAAAATTAAAAAAGTTGCAAGTAATTTTATTAGGCATTTGAAGCGCGACTTACAAGTGTTGCAATAGAAAAATAGTGAGGAACACCTAACAGAAACAAAAGAAAAAACATATATTTGAAAAAAAAAAAGCATTTACTTGCAACTTGCAGCCATTGCCCTCAGTGACACCTCCAACTTTGTTGCTCATATCTTCCGATGGAGTGTAACCACTTGAAGTGAAACACTGAATCCTACCAACTCTGGTTAGATTTTGTATTTGGCCTATATGCTCTTCAACTATCGACCTCATGGAGGTGAATGGCAATCGAGGCACCACCATTGATAAACGAGATGCACGCTTGGACAACAAAATGGGACTAATCATCATATCAGTAAAGGTGCATCAGATAATCCTCGACCTAAACCAAGAACAAAATGCATTAGTTTCAACGCCTCGTCACCAAATAGACTTCACATGAGTACTGAAGATTATTCACTTCATTGGCACACAATCACAATGCTAACAAAGCTTCTTCTGGCTAGTGAACTGAAAGATATTTCAGCAAACCATGAGCGATTTCATTATTTCAACAGGTGTGGAACTTCGCCAATCGCAATATTTCAGAATATTTGTTTGTTTACAATGAACCAACTTCATTACACTGAAAGCACATAATCTTTTAAAACTAATGATTATGCTAAATTGAAAAAGGCTTGTCTCAAAGGGAAACAAATTAACGAATTCCAGAAAGATGCGCAACTGAAATTGCCATTTTTCAATCAAATCAGAGGGACTAATAAGCAAATTTACAACCATCAACATGCCAATCGCAGCATATTAATGCTTGGAAGATATAAGTAGACTTGATTAACTATTCCATCTTCAAAGAACAGCTATCAAGAGATGTTTGGGCGTGAATAAACACTATGTAGGAGAATGCCGCTAATTTCTAGAAGAATATTTCCAAACAGCAGTAGCTCAATTTTTTTTAGGTACAACTATCAAAATACCTTTCAGTAGACACCTTCACCACAAAGTAATAAATAGGCAACCGAAAGAGAAATGAAGACTACAGCTAGCAAATTATTTTTTTAACCACATAGGCTGTCCCTCTATTATATTTAGCATCATATCAAAAAATATTTTTGACTTTATACGCCCCATAATAGCGAAAACTAAAAAATAAGAGAAATATACCAAGAAGTTCATTTCAAACCAAAAAAACCCTGCTATTTGTTTTATAAAGATAGAATTCAAAGGGACCCTCAAAAAAGTAATTACATGAAATTAAGAGCAAGAAGTGCTCGACCCTTCCTCTTCCCAATGCCTTCCTCTTCTGTGATGATCATTGTTCGCATTTGATTGGTTTGCAACAAAGTTCCAAAGCAAAAATTTTGCCTCCATTTCCACTCGGGCTAGCGGTTCAAAATTAGTGATTATAGATTTGATTATTTAGATTTAAAAACATCATTCACATTATAAAAGCTAAACTTAAAACTACATCATGCATCACATTGTTTTCCTCAATTGAACGAACATTGTTTGAACCTTATTTGAAACATGATCGAACCTAATTTGAACCTTCTACATACTTTGACCAAGGTTCGAATAATATTTGAAGAAGGTTTGAACAAGATTCAAACAAGGTTCAAAAATGGTCCGAACAAGTATCGTCAAGGCTTAAATAATGTTTAAAGAAGGTTCGAGCAAGCAAACATGGCTCGAAGAAGATTCCATCAAAGTTGGAATCCAATTCGAACATGGTTCATGTAACGTTCGATCATGATTCAAACATACTTATAATTAGGTTCAAATGAAATTCGAGCAAGATTCAAATATTATTCAAACTTGGTTCAAACATTATTCAAATATTATTTGTCCCTCATTATTTATTTTGAAATTGACTCATTTGTGTTGTTGTGTTGTGCTATCAAATGTCTATTCTAATCATACTTGTAGAGAGGCATTACACTACTCATGACATATATAAAGCTGAGGGTGATAGAGAAATTTTTTTTGGCAACTGACTAATGCCCTTTTTGTATTCAACATTAAAGGCAACAACACTATAATTAATATTGACGAATTTTATACAAATCAGTATTTGACAAATCTGCTAATAAAAATTAATACAAAGGTAATTTTTTTTTATATTTTCTTTGAATTTCGCCACTTTTTCTTGTTTCCTTTTCTTATTTTATTAACTTTTTAATAATTTTGATTATTCCTCCAGTTTTCTGTATAGCGGTCCGAACCCACATTTATAAATTGAAAATATATTATCTCAAAGGGTGCCGCAATTAATTTAGAACAACAAAAAGTTTGCGATCCCGAGCAAATTAACTCACTATCATGTCTTATTTGGGAAGAATAATTTAAATCCTAATGATCTTCAAGAGCTTGTCCATTCATTTTTCTTTCAATGTATAAGTTATGCTAGTTTATAGTAAATATTATATTTTAATGAATTTAGTTCCATTGTGATTCTATATTTAATTTTTTTAATGATAATGTCGGGTATCAAAAAAGCGCAACTGCAATATCTATTGAAGTTAAACTTGATCATATATAATTCTACATGGACCATTTATGTCAACTTCGCATGTGGTGTGTTATGGATGTTTGGTTATATCTCTTGAATTGCTCTCTTTATGTTTTAGATGTTGTGTTATCTCTTGAATTGCACTCTAATGTGTTATGATAATTTATTATAACCTTGAATGGCACTCGATTACGTTAAGGTTACTTTTTATATTTCTTGAATTACACTCTGTTGTGTCCATTCATCATGTTCTAACCTTATTAAAACCATTTTGTAACTTTATTAGAACCATGTTATAACCATATTTGAATATGAATAGAACAAGGTTCGAACCCCTATTCAAACAGGATTCAAACTATGTTTGATTCATGTTCGAATAAGACTTTAAATAAGTAGTTTGCAATCAAAAGCGAGTATACTTTGGTCAGAAAAAATTTTCAGGCATATTTTTCTAAGAGAAAAATATTGGAGATGGAAGTAAAACACTGCAATGAAACAAATAAGAAATTAAAAGCAATACAGCGGAAAGTAAAAGACACCAGGATTTAACATGAAAAATTCGAAATCGGGCACGGAGCCACACCACACCAAGAAATACACTATGAAAATTGAGATGAAAATCGAGGAAATATGCACAGATCTCTCTTTTCTCTCGCTCTCTCCTTGCTTCTCTTCTCTCTTACACCATTCTCACACTTTAAACATAAGAGAAATGCAAGTTAACAACACCAAGGGGCACCACTCTTCAAAAAAATGAGAAAGAAAATTGTTCAATCCACCTCGAAGCGCCGCGGTATCAGTTTAAAGCACTAAGTCGCTCAAACCTGTAGGGCTTCGCTCCCTGTTGTTTCTTCGAGCAAACTCTGCAGCTTCGACCTGCATTGAATGCCGGGCTATTCGTTGAAGATAAGAGTACATCGAACCCATACGAAGTCTTGCCATGAGCAGATTGTATCCATTGGGCAAATATGGGTTCGATTAAGATTTGTTTTTCCGGAGTACCAAAAGCAAGCATGACGTCGTTATGAACATAAAGGCCCAAGGTATGGAACCCCAGAAAGAGGCTGGCCCAACTTAAATGAGTTATGTTATTTTTTGTTAGTTCTGTGTGGAATCTAATTGTGTTGGTCAATCGGATTGTACTATTGCCTCAGACCTCAATTCAAAGAAGGGAGAGGACCCCCCCATCCCCCAAAAGCAAGCACAACAAATTGAACTGAGGTCTGAGGCAATAGTACAATCCGATTGACGAACACAATTAGATTCCACACAGAACTAACAATAAATAACATAAATATATTTTTAATTTTCGCTATTACAAGGCATATAATGTCAAATTTTCCTTGCAAAATATTAAGAATTTTTAATTGAAACCTATTAATAAGGCTAATTATCATATTATGGAGCTCAAATCAAGCAAGGTCTCCCGAAGAATATAAAACATTGAAGGCAAATTGCTTATATTAAATCCAAAAAATACTAACTATATAAAATAATGATGAAGAACAAAAACCTAACATCAAAATATGCCACAACAAATGTCTTAGGTTTTTTTATGTGTATCACAAAGAATACATAAATTTTGCTATTTGGATAGTCACCAAAATGGTCCTACTTAAGTCGCTAGTAATTTCCTGATTTGATGAAAAACAGAAAAGAGATTTTACAATGAGCAAAAGAGTATGTAAGTGGTGCATGTACCAGGCCAGGTCCATCATGTTGGTCCCATATTGTTACGACCCGGCCCAGATGCTCGATCTAACGAGGCGGGTACGAAAAGTCGGACGATAAAATTCATTAAACACTATACTACTTCATTTGTACTAAAGAGCCACTAACCACAAAATATAAATTACCTGTTGTCATTTGCACGTCGTCTTCTGTAAACATGTTCTTCTCTTTCAGCCATTTCTTCTTTACAAACTTACCTGAAACATTTAAACTCGTGGGTTGAGTTTACTAAGTAAACTCAGTGGGTATTTAATTAAAACAATTAATATGCATATAAATATGTAGATTATATCCTTTCTTAATCTTATTTCTTTCATTTCATTGATTTATACTTCTTCAGATATCTTCATTTAAAACAATCGTTACCTTTAATATTTCATTTATATTGCCTTTTCCCATTTGTTTAGCACAGGAGCACCGTCTCAAAGTACCCAAAGGTACAACCTTTTCCATTTGATTTCCTTTTTCCATTTCCATATCATTTTCCTTTTCCTTTTTCGTGCACGAGTACGGCATCCCCAGCCAGTACCATAAGGGGGTGAACTCTTGTCGTTTTCAAAACCTTTTCCTTTATTCAGTTTTCTTTTCTTTTTTCATTTTCATTCTTATTGTTACCATTGCATACAACATATCTTACATATATCTCTATAAATATTACTTATCCTTTGCATATACGAATCATATACATGTGTATGTTTTCTTTCTAAACTTTACTTTCTATTTCTTAAGATACTCATTACATATCATTCTTCTTTTCCATAATTGTACTCATACATGTCGTTGCTTATTTTAGTTAATCATTTACAATAGTAGCAGAAATCATAAATCTAAACAATTTCATATATACTTCTTTCTAAATGAAAAATAGAATTGAAATAAAGAAATTTAAACTTTTATAAATACCCACTTTAATCCTTCAAAATTCTCAATCCTTAGAGCAACCTCAACTTCGAGTTCCTACAACATCCACAAAATATAACTTTTATAAAAACATGCTTTCATAACAAAGTTGAATTAAATTTGTTTACGGATAGTTACTTACAAAAGGAGAAATAGGAATTTTCTAAAAATCCCTAAATCCTTCTCTCCCAAAATTCTTCTCTTTGCTTTAATTCTCTTCATTTAACTTTAAGAAACACATTGTT